TGCAATAGTTGCGTGTGGACGCAATTGTGCACCTTGCTTCGAAAAAGATCAATGTTTCCGGTGTCCTGAAAAGATCACCCGAGGATAATAACGTTCGGGGTCTCGGAGGGATAATCAACATTTTGTCCCAGCAAGTCGCACGAGGGGTGTTTGACGAAGAAAGAGGAGGTCGTCGTCGTCGTCGCACGAAGACGACGACGACTACGACGACTACGACGACGACGACTACGCCCTGCCACACGTTCCTGACTCGGGAAGGGCTGAGAAAATTAGAACCCTATAGCCCTGCTACACGTTCGTCACCTGAGAAAACACAAACTGTGAGAATTCCGTAGCCGTCGCACACGTTCGTGACTTGCGAAAGCTGAAATGGTGAGAACCCCATTGCCATTCCACAAAGTTTTGATGATGCTGCTACTCAACATGAGAAGATAGCAACTTCGACTCATAACTTTCCCCCACATTGATACAGATCGGCCTCGCCACCCCTCAATCCCGACCAACTCTGTCTTGGCCGGGAAGAATCATTTCTCAAGGGGGAAGGGGGGGATGATTTATTATCATGGGCTCGCGGTTTTCTAGCGCGCCCAGCCCAACTGCTGCGTACGATTATGCACCATAGTTCACACATGAATTAACGATTCCACATCTCGCCGCCGAACCATGTGCGCCACACTCACTACTCTAACTTAGAATTTGGGCCAGCTTTGACCACGGATACACTAGCGCCGATGCTGAATTTTACTCCCGGAAATTGAGCCCTGTGGTTACGTGATGGGCGACCCCTAACCAAACATAGATGACTGTCTAGATTGGACATACATTGACAACGCTCTGTCGCAAAATGGTGGATGATGAGCCACGTCGACATCGCAGATCGGGGGGACCTGGGAAGGGCAATCCACCCTTGACAAACAACTTGCCCGATTTAATAGGCCTCCCAAAGGGGGTCCGAGTCATTCGATGGGGTCGGTCCGAAGATCGCGCTGTATCGCCGATGTATCGGCGATGCAACGGCGACGCTGGCGATGCATCGGCGGCGACGCTGGCGTAGAGGAAATCAGGCTCCACATCGAGCCGCATCGCCGATGCGGCGCGATCCTCCAAACCCACGTCAAGACACCCAAGGAAGCCCCCTAGAGGCCCCAACGAAGCTTCCAGCAGGCTCCAACCAAGAGTGCCCCGCGAGGCGTTCTCCTCCTCCTCCTCCTCCTCCTCCTCCTCCTCCTCTGCTCCTGCTCCCCTCCTTCCTCCCTCCTCCTCCTCCTCCTCCTCTCTCACTCCTCCTCCTCCTCTCCCCTCCTCCTCCTCCTCCCCCCCTCTACTCGGACCCCGTTGGGCGGCCTAGATCCGAGAGCCCACGCCAGGCCGGACCGCCTCCCCCGCGGCGCCGCCGCGGGGGCCTCCGCGGCGGCCTCCCCGGCGGCGGCGGCGCCCCGCGCGGCAGCCCCGCCGCGCGGCGGCCCGGGCCGCGCCGGGGAGGCGCTCCGCGCCAGAGCAGCCTGAGAAGGCCACAGGAGACCGTTTTTTGGGAATCGGCGATAACCCATGTTATTCAGAGGGGGGGGGAGGGGGCCGATAATCTAACCCTCGCTTCGTGGGTAGCCCTGCATATGCCCGCGCCCCCCTCCCGCGGACCTGAACAACCCGCAAGGTTAGGTTGTCCTGGAGGGGGGGGGATAAGGGGGGCAAGCCCGATAACCCGGGTTGATGCCCGACCCCCAAAAAACAGTCTCCAGGCCCAGACCCCCGCGCCGAAGATCGAACGGCTCGCCATCGCGCGGACGCCCACTCCCTGTGTTTTTTCTCATCGGTGTCGTGCGCGCCTGTTTTGGGAGATCCTCCAGGAGGCTCCTCGGTGGGCCTCGCCGAAACAGAATGCGCACGCCCAAGCGATGCCAAGACAGCCATGCAAGTCCAACTTCCTTGATCCTTCTCAATGTCGGAAAGCGTCGGGTCATGTGAAAAGTCCCCGAACCCTTCACAGAAGACGCAACCACATATCAGAAGGCGTGAGCGTTCCTGAGCAGCCCCGCCGCCTTCTGAGAAGGCCTGCTCCTTTTCTTCACTTCCCCCATGTACGCAGCCGATCTGCATGCCCACCACGTGCATCCTCCCTCCCCCCACGTCCTCCGATGGTTTGCTCGTCCTTTTCTGGGAAAAAGCGAGGGGGGACGACCGAGGTGGATTTGGAAAGTGGCGCTGCTACGATCACGTCGCGGACAGAAATTACCCTGCGGCGCACCAAACCGATCGGCCCCAGCAAACCTCGAAAATGACGACAGTTTCACACTTCGCAACCCCCAGGGATGGCGAGGTCCCGTGTGGGTCTACGTGTGGCCCACTGTGCGGGCTCACCCAGCAGCCTTCGAAAGTGACAACCATTTCACACGTCGCAGCCCTCCTTGGATGGCGAAGTCTCGGTTGGGTCTGCGTGTCGCCCCGCTGTGCGGGCTCCCCCAGCAACCTGCACAATCGGCGACAATTTCACACTCTGCAGCCCCCCAGGGATGGCGAGGACCCGTTTGGGTCTGCGAGGGGCCCCACTGTGCTGGCTCCCCCAGCGACCCGCGAAAGTGGCGACAGTTCCACTTCGCAACCCGCATGGATGGCGAGGTGCCGTTTGGGCCTGCGTGGAGTCCCACTGTGCGGGCTTCCCCAACAACCCTCGATAGAAGCAGCAATTTCACACGTCGCAGCCCCCGTAGGACGGCGAGGCGCCGATTGGGCCTGCGTGGGACCCCACTGTGCTGGCTCCCCCAGAAGCCCTCAAAAGAGGCGACAATTTCACACTTCGCGGCTCCCCAGGGATTGCAACGCGAGGTTCCCCCCTGGGTCTGCGTGGGACCCTTCTGTGCGGGCTCCCCCAGCAGCCATCGAAACTGGGGACAGTTCCACACTTCGCAACCACCCCCAGGGATGGCGAGGTCCTGTTTGGGTCTGCGTGGGGCCCCACTGCGCGGGCTTCCCCAGCAGCCTTCAAGAGTGGCGACACTACACGTCGCAGGCCCCCAGAGATGGCGACGTCCACGTTGGGTCTTCGTTGGGCCCAACTGTGCTGGCTCCCCCAGAAGCCCTCGAAAGAGGCGACAATTTCACACTTCGCGGCCCCTCAGGGATGGCAACGCGAGGCCCCCCCTGGGTCTGCGTGGGGCCCCACTGCGCGGGCTTCCCCAGCAGCCTTCAAAAGTGGCGACAGTTTCACACGTCACAGGCCCCCAGGGATGGCGACGTCCAGGTTGGGTCTGCGTTGGGCCCAACTGTGTTGGCTCCCCCAGCAGGCAGGTGCAGGCAGGCGCGGGCAGGCGAGAGGGGGACAGAGGGCGGGGGGAGGAGAAGAAGGGAGTTGGCACCCCACTGCTCTCTTCAGGGCGAGAACCCAGCCAAGGGCAGGCCGGGCGACGGACCGGCCGGGCAGGACAGCGAGGCGGGAGGCACGCAGGCGGGCAGGCGCAGGCAGGGGAGGAGGGGGGCTGGGGGCGGGAGGAGAAGCACGGAGGACATGGCGACCCCACCGCTCGACTCCCGAGCGAGAACCCGACCCCGGGGCGGGGGCGGGGCAAACCTTGCGTCTTCTTGTTGTGGCCGGCAGCGTGGGCGGCCGCACGGCGCGCCCGGCAGGCCCGCGGGCCGCGCCCGGAGCCGTGGGCAGACACGCACAACGAAAGATCGTGCGAGCAGGGGGGGGGGGGAGGCCGGCCGCGGAGGAGGAGCGCGGGAGGGAGCCCCGGGCGCGGAGAATCTGCGCCACGGTTGCGAAGAGCAAGATCGGCGGACCTGTGCTCGCTGCTGCTCTCGGCCTCTGGAGGGCCCTCGCCCGGACCCGGGGCCGCCAGAACGACCCATGGCGAGAAGCCGTTGAACTCATGGCGTCGGGGGTCGGGGTGTGCAAGGACAACTAACGGAAGCTCTTGAACGTCCCGATGGCGCTCAATGGCGAGCACCATCGCGCGCTCAGCTGACACGATGCATCGACCTGGCGCTTTTGAACGCTCTTGGTCGCTGTTGGTACCTCTTTTGAGGTGGGGAAACCAAAAGGTCCACCACCGTGCCGCTGGGCACGGCGCGGGCGTGTCCTCAGGTCCTCTGCCCAATCCTTTACGCCCCCAGCCCCCGATCCCCAATCCTGAGGGTTTTAGGGGGCCTGGACCCCGATATCCGACATCCCCTGGGGTTTCTCGCGTGCACCCTGGGCTCCCCACGCGGCTGGTCGCATGCCTGCTTCGGGCCCCAGAAGGCCCCACGACAGGCCCAGAGGGATCCAGGAGGCCTCCAAGACGGCCCAAGAGAGCCCCGAGACGCTGAAAGATCGCCCCGAGACGCCTAAGATGGCCCCAAGATGGCTCATGAGTCCTCCTCCGAGGCGCCCCAAGAGGCCTCCAAGAGGCTTCCGAAGAGGGGGCCCAAAGGCAACAAAAATTGATCTTCTTTTGGCTTTAGAAAGTTATCGCGTTTCCAGCTTCCCGACACTCCAAGACAGCCTAAGAGGCCCACATAACCACCCGAAGACGGCCCAAAAGGCCTCCGAGAGGGCCCCAAAGCGGCCCAAGAAGCGCCCAAGACGGCCATAGAGGGCCCCGAGCCGGTTCCAAAATGGGCCCAAGATGGACCACGAACCGACAATCCTAACCTTCCGCCCCAAGAGGCCCCAAGAGGCTCGGCCCCAAGAGGCCCCCAAGAGGCCCAAAAGAGGCCCCAAGATGCCGGCCCCCAAGATGCATCATCCCTGCCTACAAGATGCTTCGGAGAAGCCTCCCACGAGATCCCAACGAACATCCAATAGGTTTCAGACCCGCAACCCAGGCAAAATGGCGGCGGGATGGACAGAAGGACATTCGATACTAATACCGCTACTCCACGGACCTCTCCTGGGATGCGTTCTAACCAGAATTTCGAGGCAGCTCCAGCGGTGGCGACGAGGAACTCACAGGAGGCCCAAGAAGGCGAAAACGAGGCAAGGGAAGCGGTTTCGGTGCCGTTTCCTCCTCTGAGCCGCTGGTCGCTACTGCTGGCTTTCTGAGCGCTACTCGGACACATTCAAGACAACGTTTTCACAGAGCGCTACTCGGACACATTCAAGACAACGGTTTCACATTCGGCGTTTCGACATTGGGCGAAAGGGGGGAGGGGGGGGGTCTGGCTACGCACATCTGCCTGGTGCGACTGTTTGCACCAGCGAGTCCCAGGGGGGAGGCTCCACCTGCTCGAAGCAGGCGCCGAAAACAGCCAAGATCTACTCCATGGGGGGGATGGGAGAGGTGTGCGAGGGCCCGCGTCGATCGGCAAAACAATGAATCTGACAACGATCACAAACGGCAGAAACCTAGGCGCTCCGCGCGGCTTTCTTGGATCCGCGCTGGTCCTCCCCTCCCTGGCGCGCGGAACGCGCCAGGGGCGACGCCAGAGGTGCCGCCAGGGGGTCCCAGCGCAGATCCAAGAAATCCGCGCGGAGCGCCAACAGTTTTATGCATATCGCAATTTTTTCTTCTTCGACTGAAGGGCCCCAGGGGCCCACAAACAAATACAATGCACACAGCTCCTGGGATCCCCCTCTATCTTTTCATGTGTTCTCGACTGTCGTCTCCCTCATCTTTTCCCACATGCTCCACATCTTTCCTTTCGGATCGGCGACTCTTTGCGTCGACAGTCTTGCCTGCAGAGAGTTTGGAGTCCCGAAACAGAGCGGTGACAGACCGTGCGGTGACCTCGGAACCCCAAGAGACCTCACCGCACGGTCCGTCACCGCACGGTCTTGGGACCCTGGAGGCCCCTGTCGCCCGAGACGTCCTCGGAGAGGGACTCGGGTCCCAAAACCGTGCGGCGACCCCGCATCCCCACCGACCCACCGCACGGTGTGGTCACCACCCCGTTGGGGGGCCCCCGGGAGAGAGGGGGGCGCCCGGCGAGGCCTCTCTCACGATCTCCTGCTCGTGGATCTCCACGAGCTCCTCCGGAGGGGCACGCCGGAACAGGGAGGCCCGGGCGGCCGAGCGCTCGGGGCATCGCTCCGCAGACCGCCGAGAGGTACGGGCGGCGTCGGCAGGGGGAAATCACCTGCAGTTGCGAATGCCACGACAATGGACACCCTAACAGTCCTGTCATTGAGTTTAAACATGTGCTTACTTTGTCGGAAGCATGTTCTAAACATGTTGTGCACCGGTTTTTTATGTGTTTAAAATATGTTTGACACATGTTTTAGTCATCTGGGAAGTATTTGGCAGCACGCTTCCTCTCCATTAATCGACTTCCACAAGCCTACAATCGGACTTCATCAGACAGGACACGTGAGAGGACAAAAGACCCTTCCGAGGGCCACATTGCCATAGGAATGCAGGAGGCATGGGTTGCGAGACACAGGACACAAAAAAACCCTCGATTTTGCACGGTCGACCTACGAATCCGGGCCGACTGTAGACGTGTTCATAAGCAGCATACAGTGGAGGCCAGTCCAAAAGGAACCTGCCACAAGAAACCCAACCCTGAGACCCCAGGACGCCTGTTGATTTGTGGCGTGGGAGCGTCACGCCTTCCACAGCAGGACAATCGGAACCCAAGAAACCCAGGGCACCCTGGAGGCAAGCACTGTGTTTCTTGGCATGGGTCTCCACTGTATAGAGGCCTCCTGCAAGGAGTCGGAATAGATGGGGTCGGAGGATCGCGCCGCATCGCCGATGCATCGGCGATGCATCGGCGATGCATCGTCGACGTTGGCGATACGTCGGCGTTGTCGACGTGAAGCAGATCGGGCTGCACATCGAGCCGCATCGGCGATGCATCGGCGATGCTGCGCGATCCTCCGACCCCGTCTACTCCGACCCCATCGAGGAAGCCTAAGTAGAGCAAAAACATAATAGTAAGTCGGAGATCCGCGCGGATGTCTTGAGTCGGCGCTGGGCACCCCTACCTGGCGCGCCGAGCGCGCCAGGGGCGACGCCGGAGGCGTCGCCAGGGGGGGCCCAACGCCGATCCAAGAAATCCGCTCGGACCTCTGAGAAATTATGCTTATGCATGTCTTGTGAGTCGAATGTCGAGCGGCGGATCGTACCGCATCGAGTTGCATCGGCAGTGCGGGAAAACCATATGATATCACCTGCTCCAGCCCGCGGTGGCGCTCCTCGACGTCGTCGAGCGCGGAGAATGCCGCAGCTCTCTCGGCCTCTCGAAGTGCGCCCAGCACAGGAGTCGCAGATCCCGCTGGCGTTGACGACCCAGACATCCGACGGTGCGTT